AGATCATGGAAACCTCTAATTGTCAAGTTCAGAATATTCTATAGACACGAGAGATTCTTTTTTTTTTTTTAAGATTTTATTTATTTGACAGAGACACAGCAAGAGAAGGAACACAAGCAGTGGGTAGTGGGAGAGGGAGAAGCAGGCTTCCTGGCTGAGCAGGGAGCCCGATGCCGGGCTCGATCCCAGGATCCTGGGATCACGACCTGAGCCGAAGGTAGACGCCCAACGACTGAGCCACCCAGGCACCCCTGGACACTAGAGATTCTTGAACAAGAGGATCACATAATGCGTGTGCTTTACAGAGAATAATTGTCGGAAAAGTGTAAAACAGATTGTGAGGACTGAAGCTAGCATAAAAGTATTTAACAGACTGAATGAAGGAAACAGCTTCTAAAAAATGATGATGAAAAATGATGATGCGAGAGATGAAAATGATAAAATGATGATGAAAAATGATGATGCAAGAGATGAAGGAAATACTACACGAGATGAAAAAATGGCAGCGATTACAATCTTTCTGACAAATACATTTTTAAAAACAGCATATGTAGGGGCGCCTGGGTGACTCAGTTGTTAAGCAGGGAGCCTGCTTCTCCCTCTCCCATTCCCCCTGCTTGTGTTCCCTCTCTCACTGTGTCCCTGTCAAATAAGTAAATAAAATCTTTAAAAAAAAAAAACAAAAACCCAGCATATGTAGACTTCTGCTTGTGGGAAGATGGAGTAGACGTACTTTTCCCTATTACTCCCTGGACAAACCACATACCTGAGAAAGGACCCATATCTAGAACATATAAAGAATTCCCAAAATTCAACAGTAAAAAAAACAAAAATCCAATGAAAAAATGGGCAAAAGACATATAAATAGGCTTGTCATCAAAGAAAATATATGAGGTACACCTGGGTGGCTCAGTCGGTTAAGAGTCTGCCTTCGGCTCAGGTCATGATTGCAGGGTCCTGGGATCGACTCCTGCGTCGGGCTCCCTGCTCATTGGGGAGCCTGCTTCTCCCCCTCCCTCTGTCTGTCGCTCCCCCTGCTTGTGTGCACTCGCGCACCTGTGTATCTGACAAATAAATAAAATCTTTTGAAAAAATAAATAGGATATATGAATGGCAGAGAAGTACATGAAAAGATGTTCAGCATCATTAGCTGCTAGGGAAATGCAAATTAAGACCATGGTGAGGTATCACTACACACCTGTTGAAATGCTAAAATAAATTGGGCCAATATGGAATGCTATCAAGGACAGAGAGAAACTGGACCTCTTACACACTGCTGGGGGAAAGTAAAATTGTACAGCCATGCTGGATGATAGTTTGGCAATTTCTTTAAAAACTGAGCATACACTTACCATACAGCCTAGCAACTGTACTCCTACTCCTGGGCATTTATCCCAGAGAAATGAAAACTAAGGTCCACACAAAACCTGTATACAAATGTCCCTAGCTTCATTACTTGTCATAGCTGAACTGTGTATAAAAACAAAATATCTCACAATATGTAAACAGTTAAACTGTGGAACTGTGGCACATCCATACCATGGAATACTACTCAGCAATAAAAATTAATAAACCATGGATACACACAATCGATGGGACTCAAGGGCATTGTGCTAAGTGAAAAAAGTCAATCTCAAATTGTCACATACAGTATGATTCCCTTTATAATATCCTCAAATGATAAAATTATATAGGTAGAAAACAGATTAGAGGTTGCCAGAAGTTAGGAAGAGTATGTATCAGGGGTGTGGAGGTTAACCCAAGGGAGATCTTTATAGTGATGGAATAATTCTATGTTTTTAAAAAAATTTTTAGGCTTTTTAAGTTTTTAAATTTATTTATTTAAGTAATCTCTACACCTGACGTGGGACTCGAATTCACAACCTGGAGATCAAGAGGTACATGCTCTTCCAACGAGCCAGCCAGGCGCCCCTCTATATCTTGATTGGTACAATGGTTAAACAAATCTACTCATGATAAAATGACACACAACTATACACACATTTTGAATGGTCTTGATACTGTACTATAACTATGTAAGATATAACTAGTGAGGTAACTTGAGTGAAGGGTAAGTGGGATCTCTCTGTACTATCTACACAACTTCCTGTAAATCTAATTATTTCAAAATTAAAGTTGAAAAAACTTTTAAAGGAGCAAAATGTCCTAAAAAATAGTACATGTAGCCTATGCATATATCTTTAAATAAGTAAAATGTCCAACTATTAATAGTTACTCCTCCAGTGAACTCTTTCACTCTCTACCTTAAATATTTCTAAAATTCCTGAATTTTATACAATGAGCATGTAATACTTGATATCCAAAGGGAAAAGACTCAAGAAAATGACAACAAGGGGTGCTAGGGTGGCTCAGTCGGTTGGGCATCTGCCTTAGGCTTGGGTCATGATCCCGGAGTTCCAGGATTGAGCCCCACATTGGGCTCCCTGTTCAGCTGGGAGTCTGCTTCTCCCTCTCCCTCTGCTCCTCTCCCTGCTAGTGCACTCTCTCTCTTTCTCTCTTGCTCACTCTCTCAAATAGGTAAATAAAATCTTAAAAAAAAAAAAAAAAGAAAATGAAAACAATATTACTTCTCAACTGTTTGAAGCACATCACACAAATAGATATGAATAGAAAATTTAAAAAATCAATTAAATTCAACTATTAACCCATGTATACATATACACACTAAATAAAAGGTAAGAAATACTGAGGCAACTAACAAGACCAAGAATTCCAAAAGAACATCTGATTATATATCCAGCTCCATCACCCATTAACAGTATGACTTTAGAAAATGACTTAACCTTTATACTTTGAGACCAAGAGATTACAAACAGAAACTAATTAGAAACATTAAACATATAATGTTTTGTAAATCAGGATGACAGAATTCTTAAAATGGTAGAATTAGGAATGATCTGAAAGATCCAGTATAATTCTTCAGAAACAATAAAGGCTTGAAAGTTAAATAAATTTCAGACAGCTATTCTGCAACAGAATTTGATATAAAACCCAGAAAGCATAGTAGTTAAGAATGCTGGCTCTGGAAGAGAATGAAGAGAATATTAGTTCTTACTCCACAGCCTTGTTAAGATTACCTGGAATAATACATGTAATGCATTTATAATAATGCTTGGCAAATACAAACTGCTCAGTAAATGTAAGCTAGTATTGTCATCCTCATCAACTCCTCTTTCTGCTAGTGTTGCCCTAGGCCTGAAATTAAATCATTAGGATAGTCATCTATAATTAATAGTCAAACCCACTCTTAACTTTTGAAATCTTTGGGTTAATATGAAATAATTTTGAGTATTTGAAAACAATTGTAAAGTCTTATAAAGGTTTTGCTCAAGGTGGAATTACCTTTTAGGGAATCAACAGTGTAATAAAATAACGTAAACAAAAAACCAAAATAACAACAGTGATTCCAGTTAATCAGAGCAGAATTCAACTCAACAGGAGTTCCTCATATAAAGACTTGTTTAATACCAAGTTTAACTTAATAAAAATATTTCAACAAGAGCATAACAACCTCTAAAAAAATGTTATAGGTTGATGCAACTGATTATTGTCGGTATCTAAAAGTACTTCTAGGGGTGCCTGGCTGGTTCTGTCAGTGGAGCATATGACTCTTGATCTCGGGGCTGTAGGTTTGAGCCCCACATTGGGTGTAGAGATTACTTAAAAATAAAATCTTAGGGACGCTTGGGTGGTTCAGCCGGTTAAGCGTCTGCCTTTGGCTTAGGTCATGATCCCGGGGTCCTGGGATCGAGCCCGTATCAGGCTTCTTGCTCAGCGGGGAACCTGGTTCTCCCTCTGCCTGCAGCTCCCCCTGCTTGTGCTCTAACAAATAAATAAAATCTTAAAAAAAATAAGTATTCTATACTTCTAACAATTTGGGAAGAAACTGGGAAAATTTCCTCAAGTGACAGGTACTAATAACTGGAAAGACACAAACTATCCTATTGGTTTTAATTATGCAAACACATAATTTGGTTATGTGTTTCTAATTTACCATTATGCAATCTTTAGAATACAAAGGATGTATCAACAGGAGCACGCAGGTGGCTCAGTTGGTTAAGTGTTCAACTCTTAATTTCGGCTCTGGTCGCGATCTCAGGGCTGTGGGACTGAGCCCCTCCTGCGCTCTGTGCTCAGTTGAGGAGTCTGCTCGAGATTCTCTCCCTCTCCCTCTGCCCCTCCGTGTGCTCTAAAATAAATAAATAAATAAATCTAAAAAACAAAACAAAACAAAAAAACCCACAAAGGATATATCAGTAAAATGAAAACTTTACTTTCTGTGTGTCTTATAGAAACAATGCCTAGGTTCATATAGTGACAGTGGTTTTAAATATGCTGGATTTTCCTTGTGGTTTCACTTGATCATGTGTACTCTAAAATACTAGAGTACAGGGGTGCCTGGGTGGCTCAGTCGGCTAAGCGACTGCCTTCGGCTCAGGTCATGATCTCAGGGTCCTGGGATCGAGCCCCGCATCGGGCTCCCTGCTCGGTGGGAAGCCTGCTCCTCCCTTTCCCACTCCCCCTGCTTGTGTTCCCTCTCTCGCTTTCTCTCTCTCTCTGTCAAATAAATAAATAAAATTTTTAAAAATAAAATAAAATACTAGAGTACAGCCTGAAGCAATTATCTTCTTTAAAAAACATACACCGTCTTTAAAAATCATACATTAAAATGCCCCTAAAGGAATTTAGAACAACTGATGAAACTTGATTTATAAATATAAAATGTGGGGCGCCTGGGTGGCTCAGTCGTTAAGCATCTGCCTTCGGCTCAGGTCGTGATCCTGGGGTCCTGGGATCAAGCCCCGCATCGGGCTCCCTGCTCATTGGGGAGCCTGCTTCTCCC